ATGAATAAATACAAGAAAATTTAAATCTGTATTTTAATTAAATTGCGGATTCAAAATATCAAGGACAAAGTTTTTTGTAAAAAATTGTTGGTCGTTCAGAGATTTTACGTCCTCTTCCATTTTCAGGTGATATCGCAACCAAGTGTTTTTGAGGTTGCTTTTTTTTTTTAATGCGCTAAATATTTCTAGTTAGGTTCTGTGTAGATTATATAATAGGAGTTGAAATACTGTGTTGTAATAAAAGACTTATAAAAGATGTTGTATTTTATGGTAAAACCTGTAAAACTAACGGATGTAGCAGCTTAATCACGATAATAAATGACAAAGAACCTGTTTCAACTTTCTAATCAAAATATATTAAATGTCAGGGCTTTTTTTAAAATAAAAAAAAAAAAAAAATGAAAGTTTTAAAAACCAGCTGTTGGCTGTCAGATCATTATATACATTTACTCTACAGACAATGATACATGATCTAGCAGTTAAAGCTGTTTCTATAGTCATTGATACATGGTCCTTGTGTTGTGTTACAGTTAAACCTGCTTCAAGAGGCCAATGATACATGGCCCTTGTGTTGTGTTATAGTTTAACCTGCCTCAAGAGGCCAATGATACATGGTCCTTGTGTTGTGTTAAATTTACTCCTGTCACAAGAGGGCAATAATACGTGGCCCTTGTGTTACAGTTAAACCTGTCTCAAGAGGACGGTGATATGTGACCCTCGTATTGTGTTATAGTTAAACCTGCCTCACGAGGCCAATGATATGTGGTCCTTGTGTTACAGTTAAACCTGTCTGTAGAGGCAAAAGCCCTCTGGTAGCCCAGATTGTCTTCGTTTTGCTTTGGTGGTGAATGCTAAACCCCATATCTCTCTCTCTCTCTCTCTCTCTCTCTCCCCCTGTATGTACATCTCTATCTGGTGGATAAATCCATGTTCTGAAAGCCCCTGCCCCTCTCTCTCTCTCCGTATGTCATCTCTCTCTGTATGTCCATCTCCACCTCTCTCTCTGATGGGTCATTAAAGGTTATGATAAAAGCCCATATCTTTCAGAAGGGTGTACAAGGATTATGGTTAATCTCATTTTATTAGGAGACATTACAGTGGACTGCTGAGGATTTTAAAGGGTATTTTAAATCAACCATATATAGGGCGGGTGGGATCTAGCCGTCTAATGGTCTAACATGTGTACCTTAGATTATAAGGTCTGTCATTGAGTAAAGGACCGTGGTTTCAATTCCCTGCTTGTATGTGACACGCAATGGTGTCGCCTGTCTAACCTTGTGGGCTTTCTCCGAGTCCTCCAGTTTTCACCCACAGCTTAAAATATATACACGCAAGCAAATTATTGAAATAAAATTGAACCATGTTAGTCCCGAAAAGACCTATTTTGTGTCGAGTGTATGTTTAACCCCATCTCCCTCTTTATTTTTGATATATTTTAAGACAAAATCTGGTGATAATTATAATAACTACCGTAGCTGATTTATTCAAGATTACTTTGTGAATGTTGGCAGAGAATTAACTGTAATATCATGTGCATGTTTAGGTGTGTAACCATGTATTTTTTATAGCATGTGCATGACAAGTGTCGGCCTGTTATAAATCATGGTAATTAGAATATGTCATAGGAAGATAAGATGAAACCCTGCACATGTTATAGAGTCAGTAGTTGAGAGGGAGGAGTTTCTAGCACATGTATTTAAAGCGACAATTTTACTTTGCTTTTCCAAAAATAGCAAGTAGATTCTTTTTCCTACGTTTTTTTCTGGAGTTTTCAAACGTTGTGTTTAAGAAATGTGGAGGTCCGTAAGATTCAATAAGATACAATAAAACCAAGTACGAACAATACAAACCATTAGACAAAATTCTAGTTCTAAAAAAAAAAAACTGTATAGGCAAAATAGTGTAATCAGCCAATGGACTGTTCACTGTGTACAAAATACAAGACAAAACAGTGGTAACAGGTGTCCGAAAGAGAAACATACCCTGCCTGGCGCCAAACCAGACATAGCTGCATCCAAACCATTAGACGAAATCTCTGTAAAATAGTGTAATTGGCCAATTTGTAGATGATTTAACTGCATGCTAAGATTTGAGGTTGTTGGTTTCTGTAAAATAATATTGCTACTTTAAAGGAAATAGGTAAGCAAGATCTCGGCAACTAACAGCAGGGTTAACACGCTCATTTTCAAGTTTTTTCCCCACTGTCGAAATGTCAAGGGATCTTCATATGTTACGAGTGGTGTAGATGGGACGGTGAGAAGGACTAGACACTGTCCACGCAACACTATGCACTGCCTGTGCAACACTAGAAACTGTCTGCACAACACTAGACACTGTCTACGCAACACTAGACACTGTCCATGCAACACTAGACACTGTCCGTGCAACACTATGGACTGTCTGCACAACACTATGCACTGCCTGCACAACATTAGACACTGTCTATGCAACACTAGACACTGTCTGCACAACACTAGACACTGTCCACGCAACACTATCCACTGTCTGCGCAACACTAGAAACTGTCTGCGCAACACTAGAAACTGTCTGTGCATATCTAAAAACTGCTACGCAACACTAGACACTGTCTGTTAGCGTTGATTAGTGATAGCTTCAAGCGCGTTGGGGGGGGGGGGGGCCAAGTTCACAAAACATTCTCAGACTTAAGTTAAGAATTTACTCAAAATTCTTCGCCTTATTTGAACTAAAATATAGCCCTTTATAAAACTTTTGTTGTTTTTTATTGTATCAAATACATCATTAAGAAACTACCGGTACATGTATGTGCAATGTTTTGTGTTTCAGTGATTAAAAGTTGAGCAACATAAACTTAAGTCTGAGAATGCTTGTGAACTCGAGAGCCAGGATAAATTAAAAATTTGGTTTGAAACATTAAGATCTATAAAAAATACCAACAAGGCATCTCAAAAAACAAATCAACACAATATCATAATATCCAGTCTATTTCTAAACCCAAACTAAAGAGGTCTTGCTATTTTAAAGAAAAAAAACAACTTTACCCAGAATATTATGATAAACATAAAGTTCAGAAAACGTTTGTTAGTCATATCAGGTGTTCTAGATAGAGTAAGCATACCCTGTCTCATGTACAACACCTATCAATACTATATATCTAGACCAAGTGGGGGGTTGGATGGCCGAATGGTTAGCATGTGCGCGTTGTATCATAAGGTCTGTCATTGACTCAACTGGCATGGTTTCGAATCCCCGGTTTTACGTGACAAGAAGTAGGGTCGCCTGTCCAACCTCGTGGGTTTTCTCCGGGTCCTCTGGATTCCACCCACTGCTAAAGACCCCTGCACACAAGCGAATTATTGAAATAAAATTGAACCATAAGTTAGTTCCGAAATGACCTAGTTTGTGTCGAGTGGACGTTAAAACCAATTTCTCTTTCTCTCTCTTTCTCTCTCTCTCTTCCTCTTGACCAAGTGGTATTAGGAGTTCTAGAAAGAGTAGGAATACCCTTTAAACATAATGACGTGCACTGATTTAAAGATGTGGCTTTAATTGATTTACTGGACTGTAAATATCCAATATAAAGAATGTAAAAAGTTTTAATGGTGAATGTTTGATGGGGTAGAAGAGTTAAAAGGGGTTGAGTTATGTGGAGAGGATCAAATTACATTTTTTATAGGAAGCCACATGGTAAACAGAAATCCTAATTCTACAGAAGTTGTCATTAGATATGTGGAGTTCTGTGATGAGACTCGGCAAACGTTTCTTATAGGAAGCCACATGGTAAACAGAATTCTAAATTGTACAGAAATTGTCATTTGTAGATATATTCCTTGTCTTGTGGAGTTCACTGATAATAGTAGATATATTTAGTGTACTATATATTGTATACTTCAACTCAACATCTGTGTATATAACTAGATGGATGAAATGATAATATCCTTTATCTTTTATAAACTCCTAGTACAAGCTGACAGCCGATACAATAAACTTATCATCTTTAATTATTAACATATGTACATGTATGTTACCCAAATCAGATAATCACCTTTTTCCATGGTTCTGACCTTCAATAAATCTCAGAGAAACATATACACAAAATCTCTAGACATATATACACAATAACTCTAAGACATATATACACAATGTCTCTAGTCATATATACATTATATCTCTAGACATATATACATTATATCTCTAGACATATATACATAATATCTCTAGACACATATACATAATATCTCTAGACGTATATACATAATATCTCTAGACATATATACATAATATCTCTAGACATATATACATAATATCTCTAGATATATATACATTATATTTCTAGACATATATACATAATATCTCTAGACATATATACTATCTCTAGATATATATACATTATATTTCTAGACATATATACATAATATCTCTAGACATATATACATAATATCTCTAGACATATATACACAATATCTCTAGACATATATACACAATATCTCTAGTCATATATACATAATATCTCTAGACATATATACATAATATCTCTAGACATATATACACAATATCTCTAGATATATATATATATATATACATTATATCTCTAGACATATATACATAATATCTCTGGACATATATACATAATATCTCTGGACATATATACATAATATCTCTAGACATATTTACACAATATCGCTAGATGTATATACATAATATCTCTAGACATATATACATAATATCTCTAGACATATTTACACAATAACTCTAGACGTATATACACAATATCTCTAGACATATATACACAATATCTCTAGACATATATACAAAATATGGCTAGATATATATACACAATATCTCTAGACATATATACACAGGTCATTTCAGAAGTAACATTTTATTTCAATAAGGGGTCTTTTAGCAGTGGGAGGAAACAGGTCACGTACCTAAGATATCAATCGAAAATTAAGTTGATGATATAATTACACCTTTTGTATCAACTGTAAAATAATGTTTTATATCTTTGTATTTTTCAGGAAACTCTTCCCAGAAAAGGTTCATCACAAACGACAGACATTACAAGATATGGCTCGCCCGTTAAAACAGTGGCTGTATAGGAATAAAGATAACCCATATCCATCAAAATCACAGAAACTTTCATTGGCTGCTGGCAGTCACATGACACTCGTGCAGGTGTCTAATTGGTTCGCGAATGCTCGACGTCGTTTGAAAAATGTTGTGAAGGAACCCAATATCACCTGGGCGCGAAGAGTTAAACTTTATAATGAAAATGTTGTTGGTAATGCCGAATTATTTAGTATTAGTTCAGATGACACCGTGTGGGACTGGGACGATAACAGTGGTAGGTATATATGAATATATACAGGTTCCCCCCCCTTATCAGAGTGGCGCAAGACCAATCGACAATGTATAGTCATTCGGATGAAACAAAAAAAACGAGGTCCTGTGTACAGATTGGTGTGCATGTAAAAAAAACTGTGACAGTTGGAATTTGATATAATAGTAAACCGTAGCGCTACTGCCTAGGCAAATTTCCCCCTAAGCACACTGTATGTCAAATCTCCCCAGCGCATCTATTGTTAAATCTCCCCAGCGCATCTATTGTTAAATCTCCCCAGCGCATCTAATGTCAAATCTCCCCAGCACATCTAATGTTAAATCCCTAACACATCTAATGTCAAATCACTCCAGCACCTGAAATCACCAAAACAAATCTAGTGTCCAATCTCCCCAGCTGCCTATTACCCAATCTAGCCCACCTTTTGTAAAATCTTCTAGCACACCTATGGTCAAATCTCCTCAGCAGCACACCTATTGTCAGCACAGTTAATGACAAAGGGTTGGATATAATTAAAGGACTAGCTTCTTTCTGATGATGATTAATATAGGAAACAAGGAGTTTGTTGCCTTGGTGATACTTGTCTTAAACGTACTTGAAATCTTTCCCAAGATAAATATAATTTAATTTATTAGATAATTTCCAGTTTTCCTTCTTAAAAACAGCCAATTCTCTTTAAAGTTTTATCCCTCTTTATAATATTTTGTTAGTGACACATGACTAAGATCTGCAAACCCTGTACGTCTCTGCTCATGCGCTGATTAAAGTTAAACTTTAAAACTTAAAACAATTTTTAGTCCAAAGACCTCGCGCTAACACATCACTTAGTAACATATTTTCACTCTGGTGGTCCAGAAAAAAAAAATCCAACAAATACCAAATTTCCTCACCCTGTCTTCACTTGGTCCTCTAGCGCGTTAACTTGCACCACGTGACATTTAATCGTCTGATGTGACCTGACTCTGCGTGTGATTTTTGGCGCCTTTTTAACATGTGGTTACGACCGACATTTATATTGGGTGACGCGGAGAAATGTTTTGAGTTTTAAAAGGCCATATTAATGAGCCCGGCTACAGCAAATACACTTCTTATTAGAGTGATTTTAAAGCACTATTTGAAAGCTTTGAGAACAAAAGTAAACTCATTCTTTCCGACATGTTTCCGTTACCATGACTAACGACTGACGTCACCGGTGTTCGTGATCCGCTATGCATTTGGTTACAATTGAATGGATATTTTTATATGCACGTGCAGTTTCCCGTTTAATAAAAAAGAAACCTTGCAGTTTGCTTCTCTCATTTGAAAAGTTCCCACATAATGTTGCCATATTGGTGCAGGTGTCCAGCAATATATTTAACATGGCAAATTAAAAAGTAAGAAAAATGCAATAAGCAGTAAATCGTTTAAAATGGTTTAATTCGTGGCTTATCTCTTATCAGACCTGTCGTATATCTTTTATATTTACAAACCCGTTAACCCTGTTTAAAGTAGGCGGATTATATTATCTTTGATTAAAGTTGGCCTATAATATCTTTGTTTAAAGTTGGCCTATAATATCTTTGTATAAAGTAGGCGCAAATTATTTAGCTTTGAAAACGTATCTTGGAAAAAAGAATGAGTTTGGGCGCGTATATTAAACCAGTGGTGGTGTTATTCAATCTCGGCTCCCAGAGAGACGTTTATCAGTCGTTTCTCGAACGATAAACTTCAATATGGGAGCCGATATTGGGAGTTATTAATATATAAAACATGTTTCTCAAATGTATATACACCCATCTATAGCTTAAATGCTGTTTGAAAAGCCTTAGATTATATTATACCCACCTATAGTTTATGCCCCCGTCAGAACGGGGTGGCGTCCTTACTGCGCTGCTGCGACCGTACGGCGATCAGAAAATGCACGAACACAAAGTTGCCGGCAAACGTGAAAACAACGCGAGACAATGTCACAAAAAATTACAAACTTAAAGAAAGTCGCGTTCTCACAGATTTCCAGGCCAGATCGCAGAACTTTGGCGTTTTCGTTGACACTGAGGGAAAAAAACAACAAGATTCCCAATAAGATAAATATTCACCCGACATTGCTCCGCGATCAAAATGTCCTCTTTAAAAAAATACCTGCAAAGGTGCGTTTTTAAAGACATTGCTGTGTTGACAATTTTTTGAGCTTATGAAATACACATCGAGGGGTTTAACAAAGAATTTGAAGTGGTAAAAAAAACCATGTGAACACGTACTTGAGTAGATTTATTACCTGTAAATTACTACAGGTAGAGTGTTATTAATGAGACAGGTGCGCGCTTCAGGTAAATCCTTTGAAATCTTTAATTCACACGACACGGTTGTCATGATCACCTTCTAATCTTTAACCACGACAACACAGTTACGGAGATTACTTTTTTATCTTGAAAATCTCCAAAAACGTATCTTCTCAAAGTTCTAATTGACCAACTCGTGCACGTAATGGACATAAAAAACTATCTCGTGGAAATGAGCATGCATTAAAGACACACATTTAAGTTTAAATGTTGATCCGCGAATTACTTGAAGATAAGACATCAAGTGCAATTATATATAAAAAAAACAACAATCCAGCTTTCTAATCTTAAAATAAAATACAAAAAAAACCTAGGACTGCCTTTTCTCAAATTATATTTGTAGGGGTTATAACCCTTCATATCTTAGAATCTCCGGATGTAAAACATAAAAACTGGTATTTAAAATCCCGATTAAATAAGGGTCACTCTGCCTGTTCATCGAAAGGGGGTTGGATGACCGAATGGTTAGCACGTGATCGCTGTATCATAAGATCTGTCATTGAGTCAACTGGCGTGGTTTCGAATCCCCAGTTGTACGTGACAAGGAGTAGGGTCGCCTGTCCAACCTGCTAAAGACCCCACCGCGCAAGCGAATTATTGAAATAAAATTGAACCATATGTCGGTCCCGAAATGACCTAGTTTGTGTCGAGGGGACGTTAAACCCCAGCTCTCTCTCTCCCTCTCTCTCTTGCTCTCTATTCATCGAATTTCATTTGAGTATTTTCCGAATCCATTCCTTACTTGGAGACGCCTCGTCCTTGCCAGACACTCCGCCCTGGGAAACTATCTCGGCCAACTCCGTGATGAACCGGGAAGCTTTTTGTTAATGAGCCAGCTCCAAACTGGTCTGAGTCAGCAGGGTTTCCAATAACAACCGGTTGTATTTAATACATGTGTAAATGTCAGACACAGTAAAGCTATTCTGATAAAAGAATGGGCGTGTATTCCATAGAAGGTTATTCACCTAACATTAATTCAACTTGTTAAATATACATGTATATTTCCTTCCTCGTCGGTTTCTCTTAGGTTTTTTTTTTTTGTTACGTATTATAATTGTCAGAAATTTCACCGGAATTATCCATGACAATATTACCCTGTTAATCTAAAGTTTACCGGGATTGTAACTAATATTACCCTGTTAATCTAAAGTTTACCGGGATTGTAACTAATATTACCCTGTTAATCTAAAGTTTACCGGTATTATAACTAATATTACCCTGTTAATCTAAAGTTTACCGGGATTATAACTAATATTACCCTGTTAATCCAAAGGTTACCGGGATTATAACTAATATTACCCTGTTAATCTAAAGTTTACCGGGATTATAACTAATATTACTCTTTTAATCTAAAGTTTACTGGGATTATAACTAATTGCGCCCCGTCCTCTCCAACACCACCATTCGCCGCCAAAATAGGCCTACCCTTTGGATACTCTAAAGGCTACATGCACCACTCTTATAAGACGAAGAGGCCTGTAAATTTTCAACGATATCTGATAATTACTGAAAGAGTTGTTTCCCGTGACCACCCCCCCCCCCCCTCCATGAGACCAAGTAAGCGCCCCTAACGTTCACAAATAACAATATTAAAATCTATAACCATAGTATGACATGAACTTTATGTCAACTTGACAAAACTTCCTTCCGGCGAGATAAATATCGACGAACAACTATATAGGCATTGCGATCTGTGTTCAACAGGGGCGCTCATTAAGATTTTGAACAATTTTATTGACATTTATTGTGGGGTGGGATTGTGGGTCCCGCCCTATATTTGGAACCGCCCCACCCACCCCACCCTCATTCACAGCTTCTAGATCCGCTAATGCCCGTGACTACATTAAAACATTCTTGTGTTATGATTCTCAGTAACAGTTGTAAAATATATATGACTAATCAGAATGTTTTTTGTGTTTTGTTTTTTTCAGAAGTACAGAATAATACATTCCCCATAGACCAAGCTGTCATGATCTCAGTGTTAAACACAGCAGCAAACCAAGATCTCGTTCCTTCTCGTACAAACACGCCAACGCCCGAGAATGGAAGTGATGGTCTCCTATCCCATGTGCCTGATTCGCTAAAATACAAACAAACCATTTTACAACGTTACCTTAGTGACGCCTATCAACGTACAGTTGACGTAGACGAAGGAATTTTAACGAATAAACGTGATCGACGTCAGTCTGGGTCATTAGGATCACGTGACTATGAAGAAATGTCGACGTCATCGGCTTCATCAAGAATAAATTACCGAGTCCACGACGGTAAGTTGGGTCAAATGGACCGAATGTCACCTCACACATCCTCTAATTTAAACACAAAACCGGGAAAACAGATATTACTGGGCGTAAAGTCGCCTTGACAACGGTTACTATAACGATAATAACCATGACAACGATAATGATTGAACCCTAACATGTTTTATTACGACGTACACGTTGCATTTAATATGGGGAAACGAAACAAAGCAACCACTACGCCCAATGGCAAGGAACAGTGTCTATTCGTTTGGGCGGAGGGCAAAATAGAGGTTTCGCTTCCACAAAAGATCCCTTGACGGTTGGATATCGATCAAGTATAAGCCGGAAACGCCGTTGTCTTGACAAAATTCGCCTCGTACATAGTACTCCGCATGACGTATGCCCGCCTCCATGTCCCCGGTTGGTATAGAAAAGTAAGGTAATAACCCGGGTAGGGGTCTTAAGCAGTGGGGGTTTGGGGCCGGAGGACGACCCTACTCCTTGTCACGTACAACCGTGGAGTCGAAACCACGTCCGTTGACTTGATGACAGTCCTTATGATGCAGCGAGCAGATCAGCTTGTGGTACACCATGTCGGATGTAAACAATGGGTGCTCTATCGCGTCGTGATGTGACGTCACATGTAGACCTGTACTGTTCATCAACTTCTTTAAAGAAGGCTATCGTATTACCTCTGTGAACAGATGGGAGCCACGGTGGCTCAGTGGGTAGGTGGTTCCTCCTGTGTTCGATCCCTGCGTGTGTTCGATCCCTGCGTTGGCCAAGAAAGTGCATCGGGATTTTCCTGCGTGATTCCCCCTTGTCAGTGGTGTAGGACTGCGGGCCTGGCAAGGGACAATGTATAGTCGTTCGGATGGGACGAAAAACTGAGGTACCGTGTATATATTGTTGTGCACGTACAAGAACCATTGACTGATAGAACTGGAAATATGGAAGAATTTCCCTTATAGCACACTGCATGGCGTATTTCCCGTCTTTACTAGCCCAGTAGGATCAAAACAGTAGGACGTTAAATTTCATTTCATTTCACCTCTGTTAAACAGATTTCCATCAGACAAGTACGAAAAGGTTAACTCATCACAAACAAGTCAGCAAGATTTCGTCTGCGAGCTTTTGTCCTTTTTTTGGCGGGTAAAATAGTATCGTCTGCTCTCCACCCGACACTCTCGTCGTTTATTGACATTAATTCGCCCACTCGACTTTAATTTGATATTATTTTATACACGGGCGTTACTCAACAACCAGAACGTGCTTGAGTACAGAGGAACATACAAATATACCCTAGTCACTACGGTTCGGAATTTAAAGTATACTTATAATGGTGTATTGATACGTGCACGTGGGGTAAACAACGCATTACTGGTAACAAATAAAAGACAAAGCTCGCGCCAAGCACGTAGTTCTCACGTTTAGAAGAACAGAGCACGTGGAATGGAATAAGACCACGAAATTCATCGGCGTTTCATTAAATATCATTTATACACAAACATCTATATTTGAGGGAATGTTTTTGTAAATTAGTTTAATTTGATTTAGCTATTAGTATCCACACACCATCACATGTTAAACACACGAAACAAATTGTGTGTAGCACGATGTGTTAATTATGGTTCAATATTTTTACAAGATCTGAGAATACGAGGAAGTTGTTTATATGGATTAATGAGTTCTGGTAAATTAAGAATCGTGATTAATTAACGACATCACGTATTAGATCCTGACCATTTCATCGTAGTCCATCGTTTAGTTTCTGTTTAATCCCATGTTAAGACCGATAACGAAAGTAATTTGGGCCGGTGTACCTTCTTAGTGACATAACTGGCGTGGTTGCGATTCCCCGTTTGTACCTGACAAGGAGTAGGGTCGCCTGTCCAACCTCGTGGGTTTTCTCCGGGTCCTCCGGTTTCCTGCCATTGCTATAGAAATAAAATTGAACCATGTGTTAGTCCCGAAATGACTTAATTTGTGTGTGTCGTGTGTGTGTGTGTCTCTCTCTCCCTCTCTCGCTCTCTCTCTCTCTCTCTCGCTCTCATTTGACCCATCAAAACAGGCAGGTCACCCTAACTGTTCAAAAGGATATAACACAAACAGTCCACGCATACTGAACAAGCCATTTAGTGAAGCCGTAAGAGCGCGTCTGTGTGCCACATAAACGTGAAATGATTCAGAACTAATATCGTTGGGGAATGCTATAGTCCGCGGGTTTATTAGTCCACAGATATCTATTATCAGGGTTAGGGTTCGGATTATGTTTTTTGATACCAATATTTATAGTATTTCTTATAGCGGCGGACTAGTGAACCCCTCTCCAATCGTCAGATCTCGGATGGTCGCATCGTGACATAGAAATAAAAAAAGACACTCTAAAACCAAATATCTCAAATTAAAAAAAATATATATCACTCCTTATTGTTGTTGAATAAATTGAAGGTTTAAATATAAAACAGGTTGTATTGATAAACAAAAAGATAGCCCTCAGGCAAGTTGGTGTTCGTGATAAATTGAAAACTTTTGCGTTGAGTTCATTTTACCCCTAAAAAAACTAACAATTTTCTCTCACTGAAAGATGAATAATCTGTGATATTGACGTGAGATGTTGACATATGTTTGTCTCTGGTAGTTCCTGATTGAGCAATTTCTTGTAAACTATTCTCAAAGTTGGGTCTTTCAACGGAACATCAATCGAAATATAGTTTAGTAATTAGAAAGATATGAATTAAAAATTTGTCATTATTCGACACAATATATGTATCCTAATATCCGATATTTAACACACTGTGGTCATTTTATAAGCAATACACGAGTCGTGTACTCGTTGATTTCGGGCGCCATTTGTAATGAACAAGGTAAAAACATATCCTGCAAGACAATGCGGGAATTAATAGTAATGACTGATTCACAAATGCCAAAATTAATAGTAATACAAAAGACGTGTAGAATGGACTCGGGCGTAAATGACTGTCGTTCAAATTGGACTGTTTGTGTATTTAACGGAACATAATTGATTAGAAATTACAATAATCTAATATAAATCACGTGGATACATTCATGGTATATTAATATCCGCTTTTAGACCCATGTTCGTATATGTTAGGTTCCAAAGAAGAGCCATACGCCCTTTAAAGTTAACTGTGATATATTGCTAGGGAATACACACGATACTGTGGTATATAACAATATTTAAATCTAACTGAGGTATATTGGTAGGGAATACACACGATACTGTAGTATACAACAATATTGGTAGGGAATACACGCGATATTTAAAGTCAACTGTGATATATTTGCAGGGAATACACACTATACTGTGGTATATTACAATATTTAAAGTTAACTGTGATATATTGGTAGGGAATACACACGATACTGTGGTATATAACAATATTTAAAGGTAACTGTGTAATATTAGTAGGGAATACGACCTCGTACTCTTCAATACATGTTTATATATCCTAGTAATTTAAATTGAATAAAGTCATTGTTCGGTTACATGGTTATATAAAACTAAACCATCTGAGCCTCGTGAGAAACATGGCTATTCAACAGCTGATCCATTGTTACCATGAACTTCTAGGATTAAATTAGTTTGCATATCAAAAAACGTTACGAAATTATGTTTCTTTCTGCTAGTGTCATGTATATAATAATGCCTTATTGACGTATCAATTCAGGAGATTGGGAAATCTTGGTATTATTTGAGTTTTTCATTTCTTAGATAAGAACATCTGATTTGAAATCTCAGTCGTCTCCATTTGCTACTTTTAGTGGCGTAGCAGGGTGGGGACGAGGCGTGACGGGCACACATTTCACCACAGGGCCTTGTCCTTTAAACTCATTAATTAATAATTATCCCTTGGCAGTTGGAATTGAATATAAGTGTAAGTCGTAGCGCAGCTGCCCGGGCAAAATTTCCCTCATAGCACACTGTATAGTGTATGCCCGTCTTTATTAGCCCGGTCGGAGCAGATCAGTAGGACGTTAAACCCCATTTCATTTCATTTCATGTAAACAATACCTGTAATTGTAGGTAAGATCAGGGCGTATTTTCATGAATATACTCCGCTATCAGGCCTCGAATTCACAAAAACATTCTCAAACTTAAGTTAAGATTTTACTAAAAATTGTTCACCTTATAAAACTTTTATTGTTTTAATGTATCAAATACAACAATAAGAAACTATGTGTAAAGTTTTGTGTTTCTGGATCAAAGATATTTCTCATAAACAGTGATTGAAAGTTGAGTAAATTCTTAACTTAAGTCTGAGAATACTTTGTGAACTAGAGTCCTGGGGGTTTGTATAAGTTTACAGTGAAAGTTAGTATTTGATGTTATGTAAGTGAATATAAATAGCGATAAACGACTCATCACGTGATTGTTTAAAACCTGTATAGGCCTAATATAAATTCTACTACAACCCAACAGGTGTCGTCAAACACAGAAGGTTAATGTCGTTAGAATGTAAATTAACAAAACTTGTTTGGTCGACTTTAATCGTCATAGATTTAATTTAAATACCGTCAACTAAAACATAGTATTTACTAGAGACGGCTCGGGATTCAGTTTTGTTGGTTTTGAAATTATTCTCGTGTTATGGGTGAAGTGGGGTCTATCCTCTCTCAGGGATACGTGTATTTGTTTTAGACTCGCCCACTGAATAAATGAAATGAAATTAAATGAATGGGGTTTAACGTCCTACTGTTCTGCTCCTAACTGGGCTAATGAAGACAAGCATACTGTGTGCGATGAGGGACATTTTGCCCGGGCAGCGGCACTATGGCCGACTCTTTTACGCGCACGCCAATGTGTACACGGGACCTCGGTTTTTCGTCCCATCCGAACGACTAGACAGCTGGTCCTATAGGGCCCTCCGTCCTCACGCCTACTGAATAAAACTCCAGATAGTAAAATGAAATAGAATGGACCCTCAGCCAGATTTTTGTGGGCTGAAATTTTTTAAGAGGCTTATAGCCTTATAAGCCTAATGGTTAACCCGGGCCTTTGTTTAACGTCCTGGGGACGGTTGCTCAAAACTCAGTTATTTTAACGATCCGTTAAATTTAAACGGATTGTTATCTTGCTCACGTGTCGTTAAATTTCTGTGGCTGGAAAGTCAATTTCATTATCCGTTAGCTAACGGACTGATTACATTCAATGTACATTGATAACAATTTCATAGAAGTTAGTATTAACTAGAAACTGAAGAAAGTTGAACAGAAAACAGTATAAAAACTCGATAGAATACTATAGTATTTTCCAATAGAAATTTTAACATAAATCTACAGGCACAATTATAGGATTTGCACTTCAAAAACAGTAGAATATTTGGGTCCGTTATTTCCAACAGGTCCGCCAAATTATGTAGAATACTGTAGAATTTCATCCTATATCCGAGTCAAGGACCTTATATAACAATTATTAATCATCGAGCAGGGTCTCCGTCCTGCACAAGGAGAACCACGCTGCAAAACCCCAAGGTGGAATTTCCTCAGCGAGTACCGGTATCGAACCCCTTACTGATTGGTGATCATGAGTCAATGTCTTACTAAGCTAGCCACTGTGGCCCTCTGCCCTATAGCAACGCCCTATAGCAATGTCCTATAGTCATTGACTCAAGTGGCATGGTTTCGATTCCCCGCTTGTACGTCACGAGGAGTAGGGTCACCTGTACCACAGCTAAAAACCCCCCTCCCTCTTCACTGAAATAAAATTGAACCATATGTTAGTTCCGAAATGACCCAGTTTGTGGACGCTCTCTCTCTCTCTCCCTCTCTCTCTCTCTCTCTCTCTCTCCATTAAGCTGTTAATTAGCAAATAGATGCGAAGCACGTTTATACACTGTTCTATTTATCTTAAGTTACATGTAAAAAGGTCATCCATGGGTTTTTTTTGCTGGATGCATTGTGACCACTTAATCTGTCACAAAAAGTTGTTAAAGATACATGATGTAATATTTAGATAAAGAGCTGGTCGTTCTTGCTATAAATAGTTCAAAAATAGATAATGCAAAATGAATATATTGATAATTTCATTCAAATTACTTTATTTTGAGCGAAGTAATCACTGTTTGTAATTTTGAAAAGATGTGTGCATTGATTGTTTATTATCGTAATCACGGTGCTTGTTATTCGAGACTTAGCCTCGCTTCTCCATTTTTAAATTAAATCATTAAATGACCGAACTGTTCTAATCTACTTAATATCGGAGCCATCCGATGGCATCGAGAGTTGATTATGGTCTTGTCATGTTAATAAATGTCTAATTAATAATTTATATAACATTTAAGGCCTAAGAAAGACCTGCTTAAATAATCACTTATTCTACCATTTTATTAGTGACACAAAGATGTGCCCTAGGTGTAATTCTGCAGACGAAGATAATTACCATTATTTTTTCATATGTCCAACCTACTCTGCCCCAAGAAAAATTCTAAAAAATAATCTACACCACCTTAATCAAAATGTTACAATTGACCTGATCCTATATGGCAACCCCTCTCTTTCAGATAATACCAATTCCAACATATTTGAAATAGTGCAAAAATACATAAAAGACAGCAAGAGATTTTAAAACTTTAACATTTAAAACTTAAAATTACACTTCAAAATGTATATATGTTTGTTACTCACTGTCTGTACATATGTCACCACTGTATTGTAAACATAAGATTTAACTATTTTATATGTTTGGAGAGAACTTATATAGGCCTTGCCTGTTGTTCAATCCAATTCAGTTTATTGAATAAAATATTGTTTAAACTAAGAAAGACCTGCAACCGACAGATTTAGTTGGTGCATAATGTCTCTTTAAGCGACATATTTTAAAATCTACTGCAGCCCAGATTCATGATCGAGTCATCTACAGCTGGTTTAATATGATAAATTGGTTGACATTATTTCTAATTTTATGTCAGTCAACTTGTGAACGTATTTATTAAAATGTTGGTTTGTGTGTCAATTGCTGCAGCATTATTGATTAATTCATATTACGAGAGAAATAGGGGTTTAACGTCCTACTTTTCTGCACCGACTGGGCTAATGGAGACGGACATTTTACGAGTATAACGTCCTATCTTTCTGCAGTATGTTATAAGTGAAATTTTAGCTGGTCAGCGAGCAGCGCTACTCTTTTTTGCGTGCACGGTAAGGTGTACATAGGGCCTCGGTTTTTCGTCCTACCCGAATGAATAGACACTTTTCTTTACCAACCAGGGCATACAGTGTACTATGTGGGACATTTTGCCAGAGTTTGTCAAAGTGCATGCCAACATGTACTCCGGATTTTTCGTCCCGTCTGAACGACTAGCCACTGTTCTTGTCAGCTCCTCTGTCCTCGCCACTGACGTCGGAGAATCTCGGCTAACTGCAGGATCGAACCTTCTGGCTAACCAGCCAGTGCTTTATTCGCCGAGTCACCCGCTCCCCACTAGAATAGCGTATTTAAGGCCATGAAATGAAGTAGGATTGAACGTCCTACCTTTCTGAGCCCCCCCCCCTCCTCACCCACCATTTGAAGAGCCTATTTAAAGCCATGAAATGAAGTAGGATTGAACGTCCTACCTATCTGAGACCCCCCCCCCCCCCCCATTTGAAGAGCGTAGTTAAGGCCATGAAATGAAATAGGATTGAACGTCCTACCTTTCTGAGACCCCCCCACCCTCCCACCACATTTGAAGAGCGTATTGAAGGCCATGACTTGAAGTAGGATCGAATGTAATATAGTGCACGATACGGGTTATATATTGTTAGTATTGTCCTCCGTTCATATTATTGTTTGTTATATTTTTCAGATTTTGGTGAAGAAGTAGAATTCCTGACTGGTAAAAAACGTAAAACTACTGAGGAAATGGGGTGAGTAGATTCGATATTAGATCAGACCCGCATAACAACCCGGGATTCGTCTTGGTTCAGTGATAAAAGCACTGGTTCGCTAATCAGGGGGTCTCGAGTTCGCTCCATGTGATCCCCTCCTACCCGAATGACTACACGCACTTCTTTCTCGGGCCCTCCATAATCATGCACCATCGAGGGAAGGATGAAACCTCGCCGGAAAATCCAGAACACTAAGATCAAACTAGGGGTTTTCTGATTAGTGAACCAACACCACATTCATCCTCGATTACAGCGAACATTTCTTTCTGACTCACTAACATGGAGATTAGCCTACTCACCAAACCGCCGTGAATTATCCGTTACCATGGGGGTCCCGGTATTACTCACCGAGACACCGTGCACCATCCGTTACAACAAACCTTTCCTTCTGACTCACTATCCAGGCCTGGAGGTACTTCCGACGTGACTGACCGCGGAGTCTAAGAGGGGGATATTGCGGGGTTCTCCCCCAAGAAAATTTTCAGAGGCCATTTCTTGGCCAATCAGCTAGCTGACGAAATCTCCCGCGCTCACCAGGTTCCCGCTCATTGATCGTGAGGTCGTTGCTAGGCAATACAGCCTATATTGTTACATTTGACAGACGTGTATTATTACATATCTTCTACATATTCAACACACGTATACCATTATATATGGTAAACATTTTTAACTGTTTACATTTCAGACAACAGGAGGATGACATGAGACAAAAAGAAATGGACGCCATCTTTGCCTTGACAAGCCTGGCTAATTCTCGAACCAGACCGTGACGTCATTATTTAAAAGTGCTAATCACTGTACATAGCATAATATATGTAAATAAATAAATAAATAAATAAATAAAAACATAAAAACATATATTATATAACTTGAGGACTGACGGTAATCCTTGTTTTTATCAAAACCGGAGAAATATATGATTGTAATTCGTTTTTTTTTTTGTTTTTTTTTTTATATTTTCATTTGTTTATATTAAACTGTCACTTCATACATATATTGATATAATAGCTGTAGAGAGCGAGGAATTATTCTATTTTAAATCAGAGAGAGAAATCGTTGAATATTGTAGTAGATTTATCTTCATAAAATATTCTGTATGTAAAATTACAGACAGAGAGACAAATCGTTAAATATTACAGTAAATTTATCTTGATAAAAAATTCTGTATATACTATATATAAAAAAAAGATACCCAAGGGAGTAGGCTCGACTTATAAAAAATGGTTTAAAAAAAGAAAAATGGTCTCCCCGTCTATCTTAATCGTTATTCTTCATCATGTTTTTAATAAATCGTTTTAATATTATTATTATTATTATATGTATCAATATCGTCATCTTATCGTATTATTATTATTATTATTATTCATAATTATAAGTTTTATTTACTCGTTGCATTTAGAATGTAGTTATTGAACGAATGACGTCGATGTCCAGTCTTGTCATTATTTTTTTAATTTCTCGATTGTCCAGTTTCTTATGATAATTATCACACTGTAAAATGTTGATTTTATACACTGGATAACCAGATCTGTTCAGTCACCATGGTAATTTGTTCCGTGACCATGGTAACATAAATTTGTGTTGTTATAAGTGTATTCATGAAAGTATATGATGAACCCAATATGTTTTATTTTTGAAATACATGTATATTTAGATGACGTTTCGATTATCCAGCGATAATATATATATATATATATCACCATGGTAACTATAACGTTTTGTGGTATGACGTCAGCAGGTTTTGTCTTGTATAATTTGTTATATTTACAGACAATAAAGGTCATCTACGCATTACATCAATGGTTTCTGTGTTATCGTTTTTATACATAAATATACTGAGCGCCATGGAAAACGCATCACTTAGTTTTTCGTATAACAAAATGATCCTGTAAACATATCTTATTTATTTTGCTTCTTATTGTGAACAATATTCAAATGGGAACACATCAATAACAACACATTTGTACACTTATGGATGTTTAATCTGTAATCAACGGTACTAAGTCAGAGGAGTCAAAACCAAAAGTACGACAGATGTCAGTAGCGCGTGTGTCCTCCACGGGCTCTTACGCACGCTGTGCAGCGACGTCGCATGGAATTTACCAATGTTTGAAAGAAGGCCTGGGGCAAATTGTTCCATTCTTGGACAAGAGCAGCTTCTAAAGCAGCAATGGTGTGCATCTGTGGTCTCCGATACAGACGGCGTCCAATCTCATCCCAGACATGTTCTATCGGTGCCATGTCCGGAGACATGGCTGGCCAGTCCATGACATTGATGTTGTTAGCAGCCAGGTAGTCCATACTAAAACGGGCGGTATGCGGACGTGCATTATCTTGTTGGAAGTGCTGAAGTTGTGGGTGCGCTCGAAACATCGGAACAACAATTGGTTGCAAGACATCATCACGGTAGGCTACAGCATTAACGCGACCCCTGCAAATGTGTAGGGCGGTCCGGTGTTGAAATGTGAAGCCTCCCCACACCATTACACTCCCCTCACCCCATCGATTCGTTTCGAAGACGCAGCAGTCTGCAAGACGTTCCCCAAGACGTCTCCATACACGTTGACGGCCATCAGCGTGATAAAGATGAAAGCGACTCTCATCACTGAAGAGCACGCTTTGCCAGTCTACTCTTCTCCATGTCTGGTGTCCTTGAGCCCATATCAAACGCCGCTGACGGTGATGATCCCTGAGGATAGCTCCAACATAAGGTCGTCGTGCACGGAGTCCTACTTCTCTTAGACGACGTCTTACGGTATTGGCACTTACTGGTCCTTGTTTTTCGACGACTGCTGCACCTGTTCGAGTCGCTGGGCGGAATCTGTCACGCAGATGAGTGACCCGGATGTAGCGGTCTTTAGCCTGGGTTGTAACGCATTGTGGACCAGGACGTTGACGGTCACGTGTTGATCCAGTAACTCGAACACGTTCCACCAACCTTACAATAGTGGGCTGATGACAATTGAAGTGTTTGGCAATAGCACGTGTAGACATGCCAGCCCTGGATATTCCCATGGCTTCATTCCGTTGATTTTCAGTAAGTCTCGGCATCCCTAGCTCGATTCCTTCACACGTCCAACAACAAACTACGACAGATTGACGTTTCACAGTTCATGTACTGCACATTAAGTTGAAAACATGCTTTTAAATGGCTCACACACAATGCTCCACGTGAATATTGGGTTTTTCATGTGCATCTCGTGCATTTTTATTTTTTTTGCACACGGGCCGATATTTTTTGCGTTTGGGAGCATTGTGTGAAACAATAGTTCATAGTATTGCATAATATTATACATACAAAACCACCTAGTAATAAAATATTTGGGAAAAAAAAGTGATGCGTTTTCCATGGCGCTCAGTATATGTTCCAGACCCATCATGTGAAATATAGAACAAGATTTGGCGGCATTTGCTATAATAGCTATCTGATTAAAACACAGATCGTATTGGGTTACTACACTAGGATCTGGAAGAGTTGTTATATTACCAGCGTTCTGGTTGAAGTGGGGGATTAACCAATGAAACGGTCTGTTACGGCCCGTTCTTGGCGTTTGATGCGCTGAACTGTGGGTAAACCACTAGAAACGTCAGCGCGGATTGATTAACCAATGCCTGACGTCATAGGGTCAAAAACCGCTTGTACGACCCCTGACGCGACCTTCCAGTACAACCGGTCAGATCTTGTAGTGTAGGCCATCGAAAGTATAAAAAACGAACGAAATATTGGCCTGTATTTTAATCAAATTGCTAAAATAGTAATTCAAAAATGGATAATGAAAAATGATTCGGCCTATATTGAACATTCTAATCAAACTACTTTATGCTGAGGGGAGTTATGACTGGCTACTTTAATTGTATTGGCCAATGAATGACAGGGCTCCTAATTTAATTTAATTTTTCGCGAATAAGGCGTCAGGTGTTTAAATAGGAGACAACTTTGGAGAAATTTTGAGTTCACACAATCGATAATATGTAGCCCAGCTGGGTGAGCTCACACAAAACCTAAAATTATGATCAGTAGAGGTATATTTAATGACTGTGTCGAACTCAAAAACACATTTGACTAGAACATATATTATAATTCTTAAAGTCATGAAAACCTAAACTAAAACTTTTTAAAGTTTGTTATTCTTTTGATTCTGTTGGTGTTCATCGGGTTTTCCGGCGTGGTTTCCCCTTGTCAGTGGTTCAGGGCGGGGGATCTGATAAAGACAGGTGTCTAGTCGTCCGGATGGGACGAAGAAACAAGGACCCGTTGATACATTGGCCTGCACGTAAAAGATCTCTTGGCAATTGGAATTCGATATAAGCGTAGGACATAGTGCCTCTGCCCGGGCAAAATTTCCCTCATAGCACACTGTATGGCGTATGCCCGTCTTCATTAGCCCAGGTTAGGAGCAGAACAGTAGGACGTTAAACCCCATTTCATTTCATTTTCATTTTGATTCTGTTGGCGACCAGTCTGTCGTTTTAGCCACTTAGTTTCTGCATACAAACAATAAAATGTCTTCTTGTACGTTCAATAAGCGAGCAGAATAACAACATTTTGGGAATTTTTATACGCCCACATTGAAATGTGGTCGTATATTGTCGCCGCCCCCGTCCGTCCGTCGGTCCGGCGTCCACAATTGCTTGTGGACGCTCTAGAGGCTTCAGTTAATATCCGATTGACTTTAAATTTATACACAGTGTTCAAGGTCATGAGACGAAGAAGCCTATTGATTTTCAGCGATAATTACTACCAGAGTTATGGCCCTTGATCACTTCAAAAAATTTTGTGGACGCTCTAGAGATCAAAGTTAATATCCGATTGACTTTAAATTTATACAGTGTTTAAGGTCATGAGACGCAGAAGTCTATTGATTTTCAGCGATTTTTTCGATAATTACTGCCAGAGTTATGGCCCTTGATCACTTCAAAATATTTTGTGGACGCTCTAGAGGTTAAAGTTAATATCCGATTGATTTTAAATGTATACACAGTGTTTAAGGTCATGAGACGAAGAAGCCTTTTGCTTTTCGGCGATTTCCGATAATTACTGCCAGAGTTATGACCCTTGATCACTGTGAAAAATCTTGTGGACGCTCTAGGGGTTAAAGTTAATATCCGATTGACTTTAAATTTATACACAGTGTTTGAGTTCATGAGACGAAGAATCATATTGATTTTCAACGATTTTCGATTATTACTGCCAAAGTTATGGTCCTTGATCATTTTGAAAAATCTTGTGACGCTCTAGAGGCTAAAGTTATCATCCGATTGACTTCAGATTGATACACAGAGTTTCAGGCCTTGAGACGAACAAGTATATTGATTTTCAATGAATTTTGATAACTTGAACAGCTAAATCCACGATATTAAATGTTTCGTATACTAAACGTTAGCATGGGGCAGAACTTTATAAAAACAAACAAATTCTAATGGTTTTCTGATAATTACTTAATGAGTTGTTACTCTTAATCAGATTTTAATGTATTATAAATGTTTCATTACTGAAAAAAGTAAAAATATGCGACAACTCTAGTTGACTGTCCAGAAGATTTAGCTGCTGTGGGCGTATGTTTGGTTGCCTGACAACCTATTTTTACATTAATTATATTCCTTACATGAGGCAGGACGACCCGACCCGACAAGGGTGTTGGAATATATAATTACAACACGTAAATGATGTAATTTAACCCATTAGAGTCGTCTGCTGTCAAGAAAGGTCGCGTGTCTTGTTTCGTTATCCTTTTTGCACCCAGTGCAACCTTGTTTCGGTATCTTGTATTTTTTTTAAGTCGAGGAACAGGTGCTTTATATATATGAAATACATACAAATTGTTCTAGCCTATATGTAATCCGACGAACAATGATTGACAAATGGCAGCGGCACTGATGGGCCTTTGGTATCTAATTGTTTCCATATAATTTAAAATGACTTGGTAGCAATGTTGTAAAAATTCAAACTCGACCCGATTTGGTTTGAAGAATCAGATATTTTAAAAACGGTTTCTATGGCCCAGGACAAATAGCCCAGGACAAACTCCAACTTACGGTATGGTAGGTTTTACACAGTTAGTGTAAGGGCACCGGGGAGGCTCAGTGGGTAATGAAATGAAATGGAGTTTAACGTCCTACTGTTCTGCTCCGAACTGGGCCAATGAAGACGGGTATACGCAGTACAGTGTGCTATAAGGGAAATTTTGCCCAGACAGCGGCGCTTACGCCCCAATCTTATATCGAATTCCAGCTGCCAAGGAATCTTTAATGTGCACGTTTTTTTTCGTCCCATCCGTACGACTATACGCTGTCCATTTGCTGGGTCCTCAGCCCTGCACCACTGACAAGGAGGAAACACACCGGAAAACCCCGATGAACTTTCTCGACTAACGCAGGGATCGAAAACGGGACCCCCTGGTTAGTAAGTCAACGTCCTATTTACTGAGCCACCACGGCTCACTAACTCAGGGGTCTCGGTATTGGCTGGAGAAGTTGCTCGGAATATTTCAGTGTGGTTTCCCCTACAGTACAGACTGAAGGAACTGACAAGGAGCAGAGTCTAGTCCTTCGATTGGGACGTAAAAGAACTCGACAAATCTGGGGAAACATTTCCCTTACAGCATACAGTATGACATATATGTCCGTGATCAATAGTGTCGAAGAATAGGACGTTAAACCCCATTTGATTTCAAGGCGTGAATCAACAATCTTTATATTTTATTTTTACGAAGAATTAAATGATAAACATCGATTTAAACATTGTCCGTGTTGGTGTAAGGGAAACAACTCATGTTTACGTTGGGGGTCGTAGT